TGGTATTAAAAGAACAAGAAGTCCCGAGGAGTGAGAGGAATGCTATGCGACGTCTCCTCGTTTGGATCGTCTTCTGTGGTGCTCGCGACTGTGCTGCACAGTTTCCTGGGAGTCAGTGCAATGTCAACAACAATGTCAGTCGGTAGATACATTGAAACAGTTTATAGATCTGCTCTTGATCGTGGGATTTATCCGTCAAACGGCAATGAAAGGGGATAGAGATACGTCTGGAAAGTAGTACTGAAGCAAATGTTATTTTACAAGGAGTTAGTGCCAGGCTCTGCTGTGTGCTCTCCTTTTTGTCTTGCATGTCGACTATGGCATTTCATTTGATTAGTCTTCTCTGCCAGTCATCACAGCGAGAAGACCCCTGAATTCGAAGGTAGTAATAGAGCTTGTGGATTTTGGTAGCGTTCATCTGTCAAGTCCTCTGGAGACAAAAGGCGTTGACGAACTGTTCTACAATGAGCGCACCTCGTGTGCTAGTCGCAATGCCGGTCAATTTCAGTATGACCATTTGCATACGTCTCGATGCCGTGTGTCCTTCTGCCTCATCACTGTTTCATTGCTGCTCTATCATACCGTCTGCCCGGGTTATTCCCCACTTATTTGCAAGACGACTTTTGACAACACGATGTCGAATCCTCCTCTTTGAGTCCATTTACAAACAGGTGAGTTAACCCATTGTCTTGAGGTTGTGACCGACTGCTTTATCGTTAATCTTTGAAGTGGTCCATAAGTTGCTTAGGACTCCTTTTGAGAATGCTTTAGTGACATGAATGATAGGCGCAGTAATCAAATTGTGATCTGTTCCGAGACTGCACCGAAGTTCGCATTCTCCCTCATGAGGAAGTGGGGAGGAGAGCATTGAAATGCAGGCGTTATTGGTCCACACTATAGCCGTGGCTTGGTTTGGTGATGACAGTTGCGCAGGCCATAACAGCACACAGAGCAGCGCTGGTGCGGCTCCATGGGCGTATCGTGGGGAGGGGATGTGGGAGGGGGGGCTGTGGCAGTAGATGATGAACACATCGAGGCCGGTCACGAGGCATGTGAGCACGATTTAGCTCACAAGGAGTCTGTGCGACAAGTTGGAGTCGGGGTCGATGAACACGGCAACAGTTTGCCCGATGGCAGCGATGCGGGGGAGCGCAATGGCCCTTGCGAGGATATTCACCACCACTGGTATCACGTATTACGTGGCGAGGTAGCTGTGTGTACAGCCTTCCACGTATTTACCCATTGTTGGCGAGGGCCACGATGCTGGGCAGCGCAACACCGTACAGTACAGTTGCCTCTTCTACACGTACGCCTATTTCGCTTGGTCTTGCACTGATGCTGTAAATTAGCCGTTCCGCATCTACCACACTGATATGCACCAAGGCATTTGGGTAATTGTTGAGTGAATACACTCCAATTTCACTTGTTCTTGTTGTTGCACACACGCACAGATTCAAGGCTCTTCGTTAATAAAAATGTTGCGAGAAGAAGCCACCAAACAAGTACCTGGTAGCAGAGCCATTCTTCTTTTGCAATACTTGAGGACGAAGAATTACACTTTCACGCTTGTACACAGCAACATTTCATTCCACGTAAATTAACGAGTCCCTAATCCTTATGGAGTGTGGGTGGTCCTCCCTCTTGTCGTTTTACTTAATGCAGCCTGATTTTTGGCCACTTCACTTCTTCAAGGTGACTTTGTCTTCAGAGACCCTAGCATATGCTATCATGTTCTGCTTCCCCCGTGTCTTCATTACTACAACACATCTGCATGACATAAAACCTCAGATATTCCGTCAACTTATAGAAGTGAGACTAATCTTTGGCAATCGCAACTGTATTCATTTGTATGCATGGTTTCCTCTTACACTCACACACTTTTCCTAGCATCAGTTCGATTGAACCTTCGCCGAGCACTCTGCCTGCCTCTGCAACCCGTATCCCATACCCACAATGCAGTTGATCCCTCAGTTGCACACTCTCCTGAATGATTGTGGTCACTGGTGTCAAGCATATTTCCATTACTTGTGCGATTGCATGGAGCCTTTTGCCCTGATCATCCACGATCAGACAGTGCACCAAGAAGCACCACGGCAATCGGCAGCATCACCGGCAGAGGTACAACTGCCTTCGATGCATCCACACCATTCAAATGCCCTCTTTTTACCAAACCTCCCATCTCTGCACTGCAACGTCTGGATATGCGCGCCTTCTTTGCCTTCGTTTGCCACCAACTTGATTGATCACCACACACTGTGTACTGCAATGCACTGCTACTGTTGCCTACCACCTTACTGAACGGCGGATGGACTGACTGGACGAAATGAGCGCAGGGTGACAGCAATAGGCGGCACTTGGCATCCACGCCCTTCCCACTTCTGCCCGCTTACAAACACAATGTGCTTGAGCAGGTGTTGTTTACTACAAAGTGGGCTCTACTCAGAGAATGGAATACTTGGAAGGCCTGCAACTCTTCTTTGCACAATCCACTCACTCACACCCTCAATTTCGTTAATCCATTGTTACATTGAGAAGCATGAGAGGTAAAATTCTGCTTCATCCTCTCTCACTTGCCACATTCTCCCACATCTGTTTCGCCGTATCAACTTGTGTTTAAGATTACCCCTTTGCGCTACACTCGATTACATTCAATCACTTTATTCCACTTCCCTCAATGTGCACCACAAATAGAGCTGCATAATACATAGAGAGACAGGGGAACGACAAGGTAGAGATGTGGGTTTGAATCACTGTTAGCTGGAAGGTAACAGTGGGGTCCAATCACTGTCAACCAGTGGCAGCGAGGCCTTTTATCCACCAAAGGAGTGGCAAATCAGATATGCCTCACTTCGTCTCCCTCTCGTCGGCCCACTCCACATGTATAGGCGTCTGTCCAAATCCTCCACACAGTACCGACGCTCCCAATGAAGTAGTCAACGAAAGACGCAACAAATCCCCTGTAAGTGGAGTGCACCATAAATCAAATGCAGCAGACCTGATTCGCCATTTAACAAACAACGGGCCTACACATGCTCCCTTCCAGCCTTGTGTCTCCCACTTCAGCAGTAAAGAACCACTTTTGTTGTGTTTTGCTTCCACTAACTCCTCCCCTGCAGCCACTCTTACCATTGGTTGTGAAGGTGTTTTCTGGAAGAGAAAAAACTCAATTCCGTGGGTTTCCATGGGCGATATTGGCTCTGCTTTTGAATAAGACCATGCGATAAAGGGGTGCGTGAGCTAGAAAATTGTGGCAAATATAGTAGCCAATGCTTCAACGAAAATTCCACCGACAAAGCAGGTCAACACTTTCTCGCTCCACTTGTTGCACTGCTGTGGTTGGCAGACTTTCAATCTGGGTGTCCAGCTTGTTATCCTCCCTCTCGTTGTTGTGCATCTACAGCTTATTCAGACCTCTCACTACGCATACGCTTATGAGGAGCTACAGATTGTCGTTTGAGCGGCATCTACTCCTCGGTGCATTTCCCAGCGGCTTTGGTGAGTAGACGAACATCTCGTTCACCGTGGAGGTAGGAATATGGGCCAGTGCATCTGAAGCCGCACTCTTGTGTTATCAGATCAGACAATCTATTCATGTGTGTCAGTTTCACTTTTAGTTATATGCGGCAATTAGTTTCGCTTGCATTACTGTCTTTAAAGTGCCTGAAGCAACTGTTGAAGGAAAAGCCTTCATTGGGAGTATGTGGATGAGCCACCGGCCAAAACGAGAACGGAGTTCTCAGTGGGAAATCATGGCTATCGCATACACGAAGACTGGACATTTTTGGGAATATTTATACCTGTCGTCACTGTTCTTTCCCATTCTCACATGTTAACACCGGTTAGCTCTCTCGCGCCATGGCAACTAGGACAGAGGGGGGAGTTGTCTCGTGGGGCCTTATTTGTTAAGCGAGTGAATGGCAAACACTGGGGTGTGCTCCCCTTCCACCAGCCTAATTGAATGGAGGAAGGGAGGAGTGAACTTGGCATTCACATTATCATCTCTCGCATTGTGATAAATCAGCTAGTCTTACAGTGTGCGCATTTTTAATGCTAAAGAAAATTTGGTTCCTCATTTTCTACGTTGAACTGTCAAATTTTTCCATATGCATCACCGCTACACTGCTAAAAGGTGATGATAGTCAGCAGTCAAAATAGCCGACCGATCTGATAACTTGTGATTGTTCTGACCTTCCGTGTATGAGGAGGTTCACTAGGGCCAAACCTAGTCGTTCTCCACACAATGACCGACGACGAAAGTTACTTCTTCCCCCCTTCGTCTTCTTTCGCCTCCCCTAGATTTTGCCACTCTGCAAAGTGGGCAGAATGAAACTTGTGAAAAAATAGATGAGAAAAATAAAACGCTGCTAATGGACCTGGAAAACAACACCACTGTGAATAAGCTATTCATCACGATAAATCCAACACTGCGTCTTTTTCAACACGCCTTCACTATTATTCTTAAAAAACTGTATGTTAGAGCATACGTCTCCAAAGCAAATCGTTGGTGCTGTCGAAGTGTGACGCCCGCACAATTTATCGGCGGAGAAGTTCCTTTTCATGCAAATTCACTCATCAACGCAACCACCAGACCTGTTTAACTTCTTACTGCCTACTTTAATTGCAGAGTATAGGGTTAACTTATCTTCCGTGGGCGAACTCCACATTCAATTTGCGCATTCGCTACTAGCTCCTGGAACTGCACCGACAAAACTAGGAATTGCTGTCAGTATTATAAGATGCTGATGTGATTTCCATTTTCAGTGCTCCACACAACTTTTGAAGTAGAGCCAAAACCCAGTCATAATTGTCAACTTGAGTTCAGGCACTCATTTCACCTCTGTTCTTATTTGCTCAACGCTGATGCACGAACTGATCTTTTATGCCCATTAAATGAATTAAATAACGCTTGTTTTCCAACAGCAACAGAGCCACAACCAACTGAGCTAGACTTACAAAAGAATAGGGGAGATAATGAGCACAAAACATTTGTAATTGCTTTTACGTTGGCAACGCTATAAGGGAAAAGCTGAAAAAATTTAAATGGGCAAAGGCGCTTCGTATAGAGTACTAATTGAGAGAAAGCCTCAAAGGCTTTGACTTTAATGGAGCTGTAATGTGAAGTGGTGAGAGATGAGAAGGAAACTCCCCTTGATGATGGCGATGTAAAAGTGATACACCCTCAGTACTCCGGAAGCAGAGCCGCCTTACCCACCTCAACAGCAATTTGTGGGTGAGAAGATGCTTTTGAAAGTGTGAGTGGCTTGGTAAAGTGAGGCATCTATATGCAGGAAAATACAGCCAATGACTAAGTTTCTCTCTCTCTCTCAATCACGATAGAACCACCAGATATCACATGAAGTAGATTTACGAGGATGTTTATTCGACTGAGTCTCCCCAAAGTGTGATTAAAGTGGAATGGAAGGTGTGTAAAGGGAAGAAGCTACGACGGCTTGGAGCGACGAGGGAGAAGGAGAACATTTGAGACCACTGTCGGCGCTCTCCCTCTTCACCCCAGGCATCGCGGGTAAACACTTGTGCTGCAGATGGGGATGAAGAGCTGCTAGCGGCATAGCGATTGTCAGTGCTTGGTGTCTTCTCTCGGGAGTAAAAGCCAAGTCGACAGGTGACACATTTCCCTTCTCTATCTCAAAGATCTCATCTTCCACAGCCTCCTTAGGTATAAAAGCTATGCCCTGCAGTTTGCTCTGTTGTTGTTCCGATCCCTTCACTAAGGAGAGCCCCAGACAGTACATTTTTGCTTACATTTTAGGTTTGCTATTAACTAATCCCGATAAGTCCTGTAGCACACTCATGCACCGGTTCAGAAGGCCCATGACCTCCGTCTTGTGATGCAGTTGCTGTTGCGGCTGAAGTGTGATCGAGGAATAGGAGTCAAGTTTAGTTCTTAGCCAAACAGGAAAGCCTTCTAACTGTCCGATATTCACATTCCGATACAGCCTACTTGTAACTTTATAAACTGACCAAATAGGATGGCAGTGTGCATAAGTCTCCAATTCAAAGAGCCGGCGCTGACAGGTAATGGGTACCTTTCGGATTCAACATTCATTCACCGATACCTTAAAGACGAGCCTACAAAACTTCACCATGATTTTGGATGCTGGAGACCTCCAACACGCCTAGCTTCGAGCTTACTCCTCTATAAGAGACGGCAATTTTGAGTTAAACGCGAAAATTCTGTGGACATAATGTCTGTGTGGTCGCTACCGGACCCCAACTACTGCTGTCCAAACGTAGGACGACCAGTCGATCGGAACAACATAAAACAGGAGGAGATAGAGAGGGCAGAGACACAACTCACATTTTCACCACCGAGGGGCACAGCTTGACAGTGGAGGGCGGACAGTGTGTCGGAAATGTAGGCCCGGTGTCGACGATGCATACTCCTTTTGTTGACCTAGGAAAAAAGAGAAGAGACTAGGTGGACTTAGTCCATGAGCTACAACTTCTGTTCGCAAGAAAAGCTCACAACATTTGGGTAAGGGAGGGGAGGAGTAATACAGTTCTTTGTTAATAAACTTGGCCACAACCTTCTCGTACTTTGCCTTCGTGAAAAAGCTATTTTCTTCCTTACACTCACTCACCAACCCTGAACGTGTGACTCGCTTCACCATCTAGTGCATGCACACATTTTAGGCATTGTCCCAAAATTAATGTATCCCTACGTTTTCTACTTGGTAGCTCTATTTAGTGTGCAGCTGTGGATTCGGTATTTACACAATGTTATGCATTGTTTTGTCTGTCCAATATCCAAAAATGCGAAGAGCACTTTCCCTTCGTCTCAGTTTTCGACCATCTGTAGATGGCTCTTCTTGCACAACCTTCGAAGAAGATGGGACCG